AAACACAATTTACTCGCGCGCGGCGACGCGACAAAATGGGTGTCCTCCCCGGGCAAAATCGACGTTCCGGAAGCGTTGGCGCAGTCTGTTTCGTCATCCAGAGTCGCTCGGACGACGTCGCCGACAATCGGGTCAAAAGGGTCAAAAACGCGTCGAAATTCAAATTTAACATAATTTCGACCCGCGATCGATCGTCTCAAAAGGTTTACTCAAGTCTTCGATGGATAACAGTGTAAGCGATGTGAATCGTGGCGATCGGACGTGTCGACTCTCCGAATTGCAAAGTTTGTGCGCGTGGGAGTGCAAATTGTGCAGAATGCTATCCTAAGGCTCAGAAATGTCCTATAGGAATTCTTTTTCGGTTTCCTCATGTCGGTTTCACCCTTCTAAGTGCTAGAAGTCGATACCACACACGCGAAACTCCAAAAGTAGACAGAAGTGGGTTGAATTTCTAAAACGAGGCGGGTCCCATTTCTAATATTCTAAGATAGTCAAAGGGAGACCCCTAAGACTAGATCCTAAACCCTAAGAGGAGGACTAGACCTCACCAAAAATGAGGTCAACAGACCACCCGTTGATTCCACCACTATCCTTAATAATGTATGATTTATTTCTAGACCAGTTGAAACTTCTAGAATATTTTTCTTAATAATACTAGCCATTTTATCAAGCATTATATTTGACCTTACTAAAGAATTCTAATTGTAGTTTGTAGTAACTTATCTTGAAAGATTTACAATTTATCCACCTATTAAATTCCACCTATTTGCCTTACAAACATTAAAATATTTAATAATTTTATTTAGAAACTGTGTGTATATACACACACATTACTATTGCTTTATTTTTTATAGTCGAACTTTTTTTTCAGAATTGTTTTTAATGTTGTGAAAGAATATTTTTATTTCTTTTGAAACAAAAAATATGCCTATTTTTGATTTTATGGCTCCACTTCTAAAACTTTTGAAGCTTCTTCTCGTTTCTTAAAGTATATTCATAACGTCATAAGGCACTACAAGATCAAGACTTATATCTTTATAGCATTTCTAATTTTCTATATATTTTCTTATACCCACTGTGAATCCTCTCATTATACATCCTACTACAACTTACATGTTCATAAAGTCATTTTGATGATTAACATTTTATCATCACACAAAATGTAATATTTAATCCATCTCCTCCTAAGTTGATTTTTAAATCATTTTCTTATGCTACTTTCGGAGCATAAAGGCTAATCAAATTTATTTTATATTTTTTGATAAGTAACTTAGAAGTTATTCTATCACTAACGCTATTCCTTTCATCTCTATAGACTTCCATCCCAAGATATAATAACTTGAAACTTTACCCAATGTTTCTGAATTTTTTCAACATTTAGTTTATTTTCTTGTAAACTAGTGTTATTATTCTTCATCTAATCATTGTGCATATATATATTTTTTCTTCTCATTTAAGTTCCCTAACTAGTAAGGAACAAATATAATCTTAGTTTTAGACTTAGTTAACCCTTGGTCACTTTTCTTCGCATTTGGTTTAAAGTGTGGAACATCACTTACGAGTCATGTCTTAACTAACCCTTGCCTACTTTTTGTCCCAGCCAAAGTTAGTCATGGCGTATCATTTTGAGTGCGCTCCAACAAACCCTTGTCTACGTTTATAGCAATCGACTTAGATGGTGATGCCTTGCCTTTGGGTAATGTGGACAAAATTTGACCTATGAGCTTTACAGATTGTTTGTTGACCTAAGATCAACTCTTAACTTTTCTCATGTGAGCTCAAAATTAATAATGGTGATTTTGATCTGTTGAAGTGATACTTTATGAAGTTTCCCTTCTTCTCTATCGAGATTCTCTTACCATGTGAACATTGATTTTTTTCTATACATGATTCATTGTAATTTCTTACTATGGATCAAATGTTTCTTGAAAGTATTCTTGTTTCTATTATGTATGGTTTATTTTTGCATTCATTCTGCATTCTTTGTGCTTTTTAGGTTTTTGTTGAAGAAAAAGGATTTGCAAGGATACTAATATTAAACAGGCCCCGACAGTTGAATGCACTCTCATTTGGAATGGTATACATGCTCCTTTGATATCGCTATAATTCGTTTTTTTAGCATGCTAATGATTAGTCAGCTGAACTTTTCCATTGCCATAACTGAACAAAAATTTGGGAAATGAGATTATGTTGTCTTTGTTAGCTTTTTCCTATATAATACATTTACTTCTTGTGCTAACTATAGAGCGAGCACTTTCTTGTTCTTTCAACAGTAAGATAATGACACTTCATGTCGGCGGATAATATCGAGATATAGTGTGCGAAGTGATAAGAATTGGACAGAATTTATTGATTGTTTCATTTAAATTTTAACATTTGTGTAAGATATCTACAATCCAGGGAATGTCTTTAATAGGAAACTTGCAATAGTAGTGAACAATAAATACAAAATAATTACAATAATCCATGGATTAATGTGACTGTAGAATAATAATTATATTAATTATAATAGTTCACAGATTGATGAGATGACACTAATAATCCTATGGATTAGTAAGTGACATGAAATAATTAAGGAAAGTGGAGGATTGCTAGGTTTGGCGGAACATTAATGGAGGCATAATTGATGGAGAGGAAATTAATGAAAACGGATTTGATGAAGTTTGATTTTTTCACACTTCCCCTCAAGTGAATGAATGGATGTTGTCCATTCAAAACATGCTAATTAATTTTTGAAAAACTGCCCCAATTTTCTATGCCTTGTAAGTGACCCATTTTTCTAATCTTAAGAATTAGGTGTTCTTCCCATTAAATTTATATGTTGAATTAATGTTTTGAGACTCATTGGATTTGGATTATATCTCTCAAGTTCAAGATAACTCAAGACCTTGGTTATATGGGTATTGTTATTATTATCCATAAGAGGACAATTGCGGTTCTTTTCATATGAAAAAAATTGAAATGAATTGTACCAATACAACAACGAAAACTGCAATAACAGGACCAATCTGCTGCAATACAACAATGAAGGATAGAACAATGAGATTAATTTTTGGCAAAATGGGCATAAAGGTTGTAGAAAGGAAAATGTTTGTAGCAATGCGTTGATGAAGTCTTCAGTAATGTGGGTGGATAGGGATTAGCTCACAGCAGCACAACAATAATGCCCACAGCTATGGAACTTTTTGCTGTACTGTGGGTGGATAGGAAGAAGTGCAACACGTTCGGCTATAGAATTCTTGTGATGCAACAATGAAGGTTGCAGTTATAGAAAAATTAGGGGAAAATATAAAGTGTACAACAATGAAAGTAGTGTGATTGTGATATTGCAATGATGAAGGCTGTTATAATGAAAATGTAAGGATGAAAAAAAAAAAATCAAAAAAATAAATCCAATGGCTCTGATAACATGAAAAGAGTTGGTGAGACTTGATTTAATGTTTCATTCTGATATTTGTGTAGTGCTAGTATCTATATAATCTTTAGAGACCTTTTAATAGTAAACATATAAAATCACTGAACAATAATTATAGAATAATTATAATAGTTTTTGATTACAAAATAACTTTTTATGATGCATGCAAAATCCAGAAATAACTTGCAAACACTTACAGAAGCAAACCATAATTCATACCCACTTCAGCGGAATGTTGTGGGGATCTACTTTAGATGAGCATTTATGACACCGGGAGTTGAGAGTTTAAAAACTGTGGAAAATGTATTACTGGAAATGTATAAGTCACTGGTAATGAGAATGTTCTACTTCTCTTATTTGTTTGTTGAAATTGAATATGTGGATTCCAGATTGTGGATAGGTTCACCTTCTCTGTTCCACATGCTAGATTTGAAGCGTTTCATTGAGAGAGCACAAAGAAGGATAAAAAAAATATAAAAATTTAAGAACGAAGAAGAGAAGGAAACGGCTGAATGGGGTCATGATTTTGTTGGTTCTTTCAAACATAAAACTTAAAACTTAAAACCAAGGAATTTACACGCATAGAGAACTTCAATTCCTTTGGAGACCTGGGTAAAGTTGCTATGAAATGAGTTATTACTATGAAGGGTTAGACATGCTAAGCATGCTCTGACTCCGTTTGATACTCTTAAGATTTAGGTAAGGGGCCTATACAATTGTGCACTACCAACTTGGAATTTATCATAGCTTCATTGTAACACGTGTTAGACACATTGTGACACGTGTTGAACCCAACAAACCCTAGGATTTGCACCAAGAAGAGTCTCTGATTCTATCTTGAAGGTCAAATCTTTTCTAACATATTGTACATTGGAATATACCATACATTTTACTAGTGCACGCTGGATATTATACTGAAACCAATCATTCACCAGTTTACCCACAAAATGCCAACACGGTCACGTTTACTTAGTGTCTCATAAAACTTCTGGCACCATTCAAGTATGTCAATATAGGCGAGGATAAATTATAAATCTCACTGCAAGTAACTCGCATAAAAAATTGACGGAATGACATGTGCTTGCAATTCTTCCCACATTTGTAGACTAATCACTCCATCTCCCGATGATGCATAAAGACTTATGAAATTCTCACTACTAATGCTATTTTGGGGCTTTAAATCAAGCTGATAATAAATTGACAAAAAAAATCTATGGTTGCTGCTTCATAGTCAGCATTTGGTTTTGATTTATTAGAGGTAAATTATTTACATTTTTTTCTTGGATACAATGTATCTACAATAAATATCGATCTTTGAATGAGATTACATGTCTCGAGTAATTTCATTACTATGTATTTCCAGATTACTGCACTGCTGAAACATATCACAGCTTATGAGGAGGATCCAAATGCCAAGTTGTTGATTTTGAAGGTAGCTTCATGCTGAATCGCACAACTTTGGCAATTACAAGAGTGAGATTTGGATGCAATTGATCGTTGTTGAATATTCTTTATTTATGCACCTTTATGCAAACTTCTTATATAGATAGTGTGGATTTATACAGAAACAGGTATCCTCTATATGTGGCTTAAACTTAGCAAATAATTTATTTATTTTTGGCTTATTGCCAAGTAACTTGTCTGAATTATTGAAACTACTGTTCTTATAGTCAAATCTCTGTTGATTCGATCAGTCCAACCTTAGTGCAAAAGTGAATGCTGTTATAGGGTTAGAAAACTGTTGGAAGTATTGTTCTCCAAAAGCAGGATTGTTTCTTGTAGTTTTGGGAGAAGGAAAATTAATTATCTCTTTTCAAATTCCGAAGAATCGGTTATAAGATAAATAGCAGGGGAGGCCACCAATTATGGAAGCCATAAAATCAGCCAAAAAATCCCCATGCTAGAAAAAGGAAACATAAATTATCAACAATAGAAAATTTTAAAATTAGAAATTACTAATATTAGGAAATACTAAAAATAAAAGATATCAATAATATGAATTTCTAAAATTTCAACAAAACCACACCCCCTCCCCAAAAGTTGGACTATGGATATCTATCATGCCCATCTTGCTTATGAAGAGTTCAAAACTATCCCTCTTTGATGAAGATATTTGTTGTGCTGCACAGTCAAAATAAAGGGAAGCAAATAGCTCCACAATCAATTTTTTCTTTTATGAAGTATTTATCAATTTCCACATTTTGTGCATCATGTTGTACTGGATTTTTTGCAATGCTTATGGTAGCTTTATTGTCACTGTACAACTTCATTAGCATGGGGATCCACAACTTTTCAAGAATTCTCTTCAACTAGAACATGGCACATACTTTATTAGCTATAGCCCTATATTTTGCCTTGGTATTACTCCTCCCAACCACATTCTATTTGTTACTTTGCCATGTAATCATATTTTCGTAGACATAAGTATAATATTCAGACATCATTCTCATTTCAATAATAGTGCCCACCCAATCTACATCAATTTATGTCTATATTTTGTTGTGTAGTCTTCTAAAAGAGTAACCCTTGTATGGTGTACTTTTTTGGTATTTTTGTATTCTGCTAACTGTTACAAGGTGTTTCTCATAGGGAAAATGCATAAATTGACTTACCAAACTCACAACAAAGACAATGTATAGTTATGTATGTGATAAATATATCAATTTTTCCACCAACTTTTGATATTAAACTCTATTCACTATGTCTTTTTTCTTCCTCTCTAGCAACTTGAGTGTCTACAATCTAATAATGATTCATCCTACTTCCTTCGATGAATCAACAACAATCCCTTTCTTCGATCTAACAATCTCAATGCCAAGAAAATTCCTTAGAGATCCTAAGTCTTTGGTCTAAAAAAAATGATGATATGGAATTCTTCAAATGGTTATTATATACGTTATTTTTAGTGAGAATTATATTATCCACATACATAATCAATATGGCTATTTTCCCATCTTTTGAATGCTTAAAGAATGTAGTATGAAGTCTTTTCCCTTGATTACTCCCATGATCCTTAACAAATACTATAAATTTCTCAAATTATGCTCTCGGTGACTGCTTTTACTCATATAAGGATTTTTTTACTTTATACACCTTTATGCTGAACTTCTCACTAAATCTTGGAGGTGCATCCATGTACACTTTTTCTCTAATTTCCAATTGAAAAATGCTTCTTATTATATCCAACAGTTGTGGGGGACGGTCAAGATTAGTTGCAAGTGACAGAAGAACTCTTATAGAGTTTAGTTTTGCAATTGGGGTGAATATCTCTAAGTTATCAGTGTCATAGGTCTAAGTGAATCTTTTGGCAACCAGTCATTTATCGTTGTAGAGAGTCATCAAAATTATACTTGATCATAAACACCTATTTGCATCCAACAATTGTATTCTCTTTATGTAGGTCAACTAATTTTCACGTGTCATTTTTTTCAAGAGCTTTCATCGCCTCAAAGACAGTCCCCTTTCACATAGGAACTTTCAGAGCATGCTACACAACACCAGTCATCTTTATAAAAGACAATTGTGAAGTAAAAACATAAATAATTGGTGAGAGATTTTCATATGATACATAATTGGATAATGGGTGTTGGGTGCAAGATTTTGCCTCTTACACGGCTCAATGAGATAGAATCGTTAGACTTAAGATTAAAACTAGATTTTGGTTCAGGACTAGAAGACTCAAAACTCAAACATTAAGTCGACTGAACATGGGGTAAAATCCAAGTGAGGACATTATTTGGAGGGTTCACGTATTCTATGCAGTGCAAAAATTTTGTAGACCCTTTTTTTTGTTGTCCTTTGCCACGAGTAGACAATGTCAAATGATATCACTGTCGTAGTTCTTTTTTTAGGTTTCTTCTTTGTTGTTATAGGATTATGAAGAAGACCTGATTGTCTTCAATATTTAGAAAATCAACCAACTTTCTCCTTCTATAATATAGTTTGAATTTTTTAAGTTGATCAATCAATGTTAGGGAGGTCTAATTTTGTGAGTCTTATATTTGAAAAATATCGTGAAAAATAATAGTCGAATCTTTGTTTATCCTTTCTTAAAGATGAGGTTTAAAAAAACGTTGTAACTCAAATAAGGTGACATCCATAGTAATAATTATTTGTGGAAAATATGTTAAAAAAAATTATACGCCTTTTGAATAGAAGCATAATCAATACAAGCTTTACTTTTTTTGCGAAGGATTCAATTTTCTATTGATTATAATTTTAAATGTGAACAAATGTAGTACACTCAAATATCTTTAAAGGCAAAGATGACGAGAGCCGATTTGTTGGGTAAATTTTATAAAAATATATCAAAATGTATTTTAAAGTATAAAAGTTCAATTTATGAGGAATGTAGTAGTAATAACGATTTTATGCTAAAGATATTTTGTCACCTGATTGGTAAGTGGTAATGCATGAGATACATCTAGTAAACATTTGTTTTTTTCTTTTAGCCACACAATTTTGTTGTGGAGTGTTGACACAAGACCTTTAATGAGCTATTTTTTTGGGAAAAAAGTTGTCCCAAAATAAGTTTGAAATACTCTCGGTCATTATCACTACGTAATATTTGAATAACTTTTTGTGTTTGTACCATAGTGTAAAAGCTTCTAAAAATTATTTCCATTTAAGATTTTTCTTTCATTAAATAACCCAACTTAATCCTATGTGATCATCAGTTAATGCTGCAAATCATTTTAATAAGGTCCCCGGTTGTCACTTTTATATGTTTTGGGAGAAAAAGACGCACGATGATGTTTAACAATTTAATAAATTTTATATTGAAAAGATGACATGTTTTTAAGAAATATATTAGAAAATAAGTATTTTAAATAATAATAGCAGATCATTGTCTTTGGAAATTAAATCAAAATTTAAATATATACCTTAATATTTTCTATTCGTGTTCAATCCATAGTCAAAATCATAGAACCCATCTTTTTCCTTAGCACTGTCAATCTTCCTCCTAATGGTCATTTCTTAAAACTCAAAATAATAAGATTAGAGCTTGGCTTAACATTGATGGATAGAAGTAATTTTACTAATGGGCAACAAGTTATAAGTTAAATTGAGAATATGGAACACATCCCGAAGTGTTAACAATGAAGTGAGTTTGACAATTTCTATCTTTACAATTACGGGGAGGAAATCATCGATAATTTTGATAATTTTTATTACCTGCATAAGGTCTATAAGATGAGAATAATTTAGAACTTCAGTTGCGTCAGAATCAATCATCCAAGAATGAATAAAATTAGAAGTACCACCTAACAATATAGTGATTATAAAGTTATTCTTCTATACTAAAGAGCAAGATGGAGGCAGAGACACTTTTAGAGATTGAAGTAAGCTATGCATGTACTCTATTTGCTTCTTGGTGGACGGGATTGCATCCGAGTTAGTAAAATGCTCCTAAGTTTAAGGAGTGGCTTGATGAATGCAACCTTCACAGTTGGCTTTTAGTTTCTAATTTAGGAGTTTACCATGAAGATTCTAACATGTCTCATTTGTATGTCATGATTTTTTGCAATGCTCCCACCAAGATTTTTTATGCCTTTTTTGTTACTATTAATACCTTGACACTACATCTGAGTTCTTATGCTTAGGGCTAGAAGGAGATTTAGTGTTAAGGGACATGATTTTTCTTCTTGACTCATATATGTCCTTAGAAAAAAATTCTCGAATAGAAGTTAGTGGTTTCCTAGTGAGAATACGACTTCAGACTCATTTGAAATCCAATTAAAACCACAAAATATATAACCCACATTTTTATCTTTTTTCTTATGACGGGTGATATGCCCTTTTTCCAAGTGCACTCGCACTCTGGGGTCTCTCGCAAGTGTACATGTTGTATCAGTAATATCCGAATTTGAGTCCGGAATATTGATCTCACAGGGAGTGAGGGAATTAGACTTAAGAGAAGTTCTAGCCTACTAGATTTAGTTCTTAGCTTGGAATTGAAATTAAGTAAAGGTTCTACAGTCTATTACTGAATTGCAATCTAGTTTAAGTGTTAACTCCTGCAGAAATTTTACTTATCTTAATTGGATTGGTGATTATAAAGTTATAAAGCTACTTTCCCTATGATTTTAGTGGTAGTATAAAAAATGTAAAGTGTGAATTGTGAATATGGCCAGTGATGAATAAGAGCCACTCTCTTCTTTACACTCTTCCGAGTGCATGAAAAAGTTTGATTAAATTGATATTAATTCCTTAAATCCCAACTTGAACCCATCAAAGACTATATCCTTAACATTTGCATTTCTCTATAAATTACTTGCACCATACGCTATAGATCAATGTAAATAATTTAGTAATTTTACCATATGAATCACAACACATTTTAACCATTCACTTGGTCAGAATGAAAATTAAATAAAATTCAAAAAGTTACTCATCACATTAAAGTTTGAAAATCAATTTTGGAAACACTTT